CATGCTTTCGGTCACTCTTTTCACTCATTCTCCTGGTCATTTGTTGAAAAAATGGACTCTTATTGAAACAATAGAGTCAATAAACCGTCAGTTTAATTTTAAATATTGTGGAACTTCCTTAGATGACTTACAACGAGTTAGCTAACCATTGGGATTTGACACCTCCTATAAGGCACCTGGATTTGTGAGCTTGGGAACATCAACTGCCACGTCCTTATTCACTGTCTCCTATAAAATAGAGCTTGGATAACTTAGAGACTCTTCATAACGTCATCCCCTCCTAAGCCATTTCTAACCCTACGCATGGGACGACAGCAAAATTCAGCCTAAGAGGGTGATTTGATAGAGGGATTCCATTGTATTGAGCCTATCATTGCCTGATCCTATTGTCTTTTGATCACTAGAACTTGAAAAATTCAACATCTTATACTCTAATAACACCAAAATTTTAATTTAAGGGCAATTTTCAAAAATAAATAGAGGTTAGGGTCACTCTCCCCGCTATTTTTCTACCTCCATTATTGACCGTTTATTCATCATGTCCCCATTATTTCCCATAATAATTTTCCATTGATTCATCTCTTCTATTCATTGTTGAATTGCAGGTTGTTTTGTTTGGTGGCCTTCCGCCATAAATGTTGGGGGATAGAGGGGGGATTTTGTTGCTTTAAATTGAGGGAGGGCGCTATTTTTGGTTGCCATTGGAGAGGGGAATTTTGTTTAAATCTCTCATTTGTTATGTGCCGCTAGGTGAGAGGCACAAAATAATAATTTTGGATAGATCTAAGCAAAATACTAGGATTTTTAGTAAGTCTGGGGTCCGAACTATGAGCTTAAAACCTGGGCAATAAGCAAATACAGGGATTTCAGTCTTGTAGCTCGATGCAAACCTCAAGCCTTGAAAACCTAGGAAGACAGAAAAGACATGGACTCGGAGTACTAAAGGTTTGGAACCTGGCCAAGGTCCTTTGGGTCCTGTCAAGTAGTGGAACCTGGGCAAGGTTCTTTGGGTCCTCGGAAACTGGGCAAGGTCCTTTGGGTCCTGAGTGGAACCTGGGCAAGGTTCTTTGGCCCAGGAACGGCTCTATACCTATTGTCTAGACAGATCTGCTTTGATTTTTTCAAAAAATATTGAACTTTTATTACTATTTCCCCTTTATTCTCTCAAATTCTCCCCCTTTCCGTTCATTCCCCCATATTTTTTTGCCTTTTTAACCTTTCATCGTCCTTTTTGGCTTAACCGTCCTTTATAGCCTAATTTAAAAATATTTTGCTTCTCCTCACTTCCGTCCACTATACAAATTTTCTTCGTTATTTACCTCCTCTTCATTCCCCATTTTGTAAAATAAACAAAAAAATCCAATTGACCTACGAGTGATGGGCCATCACTAAGAGTTGCGCAGTTTGATCAGCGGGCTTCTTCCCTCTGACATTTTCCTTTTTTGTTTGCTTAGCTGTTTAACCTAGCTTTTTAGTTAAAATTTAAAGTTGTGTATTTTGTTTTATTATTTAGTTTTCTATGTTTTATTCTCTAGGGTTCTTAAGTTTTGTTTGTTAGTTCCAAAATATTTTTTTTTGACCTTTGACTAAAAAATTTTTTGCTCTATTTCCAAAATTATTTTTTACAATTTTTAATATACAAAGCTTAAAAATTTGATTTTTTGGCCGGCTTTGTAGTTGCCCAGACGTTCTCGGTCTGGGCAAAGTAGAGTTGTACCCCGACCCCGTACCCCGAACCCCGACCCCGTTCCCGAACGATTTTTTCACGATTCTCCCCGACCCGAACCCCGCCCCGAAACATTTCGAAAACCCCGTACCCCGACCATAAAAGTTTCGGGGTTATCGGGGTTTTATACACCCAAAAAATGCCATTTTTGTGAGAATTTTAAGAGAAAAATTTTAAAAATTTCCTCACAATTTACTTTGCCTTTATTATTTTTGAAAGAAAAATGAATGAAATATCAAAATTTTCTTTCATTCTTAATTAAGAGACTTGTGGTTGAGTGGCTTAGTTGTTGGTTTTAGCCTATATTTCCATTAATACACTGCTCCACATAATTATAAGTCCACCCATTTTTTCGGGATTTTTTGACTCCCAGTGATCCAAATTTTTTGAAAATTTAGAAACACACCTTTTAGTGAATAACTAACAAGGTGTGATTCGATTTTTGGCTGAATTTTTATTTAAAAAATTTTTAGACCAATATATGTGTTTTCGGCCTCCACAAAATTATAAGTCCACTTTTCAAAAAAGATATTTCCAAGTTTAGGAAAAATCTACAAAAATTCTAGCAACAATATATAATGATATTATGAAAAAATAAAAAAGAACTAGACCTATAACTCTACCCGGAGCCGAGATCCTGAGACCTCAAAAACAACGTAAAATGGGGGTAAGGCTCTTCAAAAAAAATTTTCGACCCCTTATCGATTATTTTCAATTTTGATTTTGGGCTCATTCGACAGCCCTTGAAATTTGCTACAAGATAGCATTAATAATATTTTATAGAAAATTCGATTAGAAAGATACGAGCCGTTAATCTTCTGATGCAGCAAAAATCGTCTAAATGCCCCATAAAATGCCCTCTAATGACACCTAGAAAGTTTATCGTCTTGTGTCTCTCTAAGGAATTTTTCTGAAAAATAAGACAAGTGCTATCTTGTAGCAAATTTCAAGGGCTGTCGAATGAGCCCAAAATCAAAATTGAAAATAATCGATAAGGGGTCGAAAAATTTTTTTAAAGAGCCTTACCCCCATTTTACGTTGTTTTTGAGGTCTCAGGATCTCGGCTCCGGGTAGAGTTATAGGTCTAGTTCTTTTTTATTTTTTCATAATATCATTATATATTGTTGCTAGAATTTTTGTAGATTTTTCCTAAACTTGGAAATATCTTTTTTGAAAAGTGGACTTATAATTTTGTGGAGGCCGAAAACACATATATTGGTCTAAAAATTTTTTAAATAAAAATTCAGCCAAAAATCGAATCACACCTTGTTAGTTATTCACTAAAAGGTGTGTTTCTAAATTTTCAAAAAATTTGGATCACTGGGAGTCAAAAAATCCCGAAAAAATGGGTGGACTTATAATTATGTGGAGCAGTGTATAGGATTGGGTTCGGATCCATATAAGGAGAACTCTTTTGTTTTTATATTTCTTTACAAAAACAAATTATTAACGAGTTAAATTTTAATTTTAAAATATTAATTTTATTTTTAACTGATATCCCTTGAACGACCCTTAATCCTTCAAACCCCTTGTATCACCAGTAAGGGGTTCCCAACCATAACAGTTGGAAAACTATCGAGGTCCTGTTAACGGGAATCAGAGATATAAAGGAATTTGTAGTATATCGAAGAATTAAGGAGTTATAAAGGGATTTAAAGGGATATAAGGTTTAGATTAAAATGGATTTGAAAGAATTACGTGAATTTAACGGAATTAAAAAGGAATTCGTGGGAGATCTAAGGATTAATCCAAGATATCTCCTGATATCCGTCCAAATACCCTTATCCGCAATACTTCAATATTCTTATTAATCACTGATATCCCTTGAAACAACAAAAATCACTCCAGATCACCTTGCACCCCTAGATATACCATTTAATCCCTAAAAATCCCGCTTAATCCCTCCATATCCACTTATATCCTAAGTTATACACTTTAATCCCTTCAAATCCCCTCTAATTTCTCCAAATCCTACTTAATTTTTGAATAAATTAGCGAAAATATAACGAGATCTGATTATTTTTGAGCATTTTTTTCTCTAAAAATTTTTTCCCTAAAACCCCGTACCCCGACCCGAACCCCGGTCATATTTTGCTCCCCCGACCCGAACCCCGCCCCGAAACAATTGGAAAACCCCGTACCCCGACATACCCGCCCCCGAACGTTCGGGGTACAACCCTAGGGCAAAGCACCGGTCACAGGTTCAGGGATTACAAAGCACCGGTTCAGGGATTCACTGGTGGAAGGGCAGTATGGTTGAAAAACGATCCTTCCTTGAACATTTGGGGGTCTGTTTGGTTATATATTGTTTTTATTAAATTAAAACTTTACCTCCACAATAATTAATTATTATTTTTACAATATTTGTTCCTTGACATTAAAAATTAAAATTTAATTATTTTTCATCTTATTTACCTCAAAACAACAATTTATCCATTTCTAATCCTTCAATTTATCTTATTTTTCTAATTTAACTTAGGACTTTCCAAGCCAAGTTTACTCCCCTTAGCAACACATGAACAGTTAGACTAGCCAGTTTTATTCGCCCATAGTTTTGTTTAGAATCACCGATTCAAGGTAATTTTTGTCTTGTTCAATCCGGCTCGAAGAGCTCTTTCGAATGGTATATCATTCATAATTTTTAAAATTTTACTGAAGACAAAATAATTTTAAAAGTCTCCCTCCATATTCACATGCAGTTAGACAGGCCAGTTTTATTCGTCCATAGTTTCGTTCAGAATTATCGAGCCAGGGTGATTTCGGTCTTGTTCAATCCGGCTTGAAGAGCTCTTTCGAATGGTATATCATTCATATTTTCAAAAATTTTACTGAAGACAAAATAATTTTAAAAGTCTCCCTCCATATTCACATGTAGTTAGACAAGCCTGCTTTATTTGCCTATAGTTTTGTTCAGAATCATCGAACTCCGGTGATCTTGGTCTTGTTCAATCCGGCTTGAAGAGCTCTTTCGAATGGTATATCATTTATATTTTCTAAAATTTCACTGAGGACAAAATAATTTTAAAAGGAGACTAAATCTCCCCCATATTCCCATATCTGTTCGCGCATTTTCTTTGTTTTTTTTTTCAACCTTCAATGGAATTCCAAAAATTCTTTTTTAATTTTCATTTTTTAAATTCTCTTAAAATTAAAGTTTTGTCTTTTAAATTTTTTACAAATTTATTTTTTCTTTTGATCTCACACCGAAAAGTGCGTCAAATCAAATTACATACAGGCTGGATTTTTAACCAAACAAATTTCCAACTTTCCACTGTTGGAAACATTCCTTCCCTTTTTTATTTTTTTATCTAATTTTCCTCAATTTGCAACTTTTATTTGTTTGTTGATCAGCTTTTTTTATTTATTCTTTAATGGTTTTTACGTCTCAGTTTTTCGATCCCTACTTCATACAGGCCTTAATTTTTTCCTCGTAAACGTACATGCCTAATTTTTTTCTTGTACTCGTACCTGCCAATTTACTAGTACATACTTCGTTACACAGGTACGACTATAAGTTTTGGTACGAGCTTCCAAGCACTGGTCATATATTGCACTCTTATAAAAATATTTTTCAAGAAAACAATATTTTCTTGAAACACACTCCTTTACCGCAATCTAATTTTCTTTTTATTCTCCTCCAAAATAATTTTTTTTTGTCTAAAAATGAATTTTTCCCTCATTCCCAATTAGTCCAATTTCTTTTATTTTTCTTCAATTTCTTCCAAAATTGCTTCAGTTCTCCGTCCACTAGTTTTGAGTTCCTTCCAACCACCCAACAAAACAAACAAAAAACTGCCCTCAATCACCCCTCTATTTTTCTCATTCATTTTCCTTGTCGATACATTTTTTGAATACCTTTACGTAGAAAAACACCCCTCCCTCCCTCCAACCTCCCCCAACCCTCCCCTCCCTCCCCTCCCTCTCAATTTATTTTTTTTCTTGCGCAGCGAACAATAATTAGAATAATTTTCATCAGTCAGCACAATCTGAATAAATTAATTTTTGAAAAAAAAATTGTCAAAAAATAGGGTAGTTGAATCGAAAAAAATATTTTTCTTTTATTTTACAATAATTAATTCTTTCAAAATTTATTTGCGAGAGCTAAAAAATAGCTTTTTTTATTTTTAAATTTTGTTTTGGAGGAATTTTAACTGGGAAGGGGGTTCAATAAAATTTTTTTACTTAATATATAAAAAATCAAATAAGTTTTAGTTTAACTAATATGTCATCTTTAACATTACTTATGGGGCTTTTTTAGGTTAATTTTTGGAACTGGAAGTTTGGCCAAACCTCCTTAAAAAATTTTTTATTAAAACTTTTAAAAAATTTTGCCTTTCAAAAAAAAAAAGTAAAAACAAAATTCGTCGATTATCCTATTTATCCCTTTCCGTAAGACTGATTAAATTATTTCAGTTCGAACTCGAATCTTGATAAGATCACTTTTCGTACCGTCAGCTTAATACAAGAGACATGCTAACAGAGTTAAGTGTTGTCGATATTCGACTAATTATTTTAAAATTTTTTTTTCATTCCAAATAGTAATCTTCAATTAAATTTTTTTACTTAATATATAAAAAATGAAATAATTTTTGGTTTAATTAATTTGATTGAGGCTGTAGATATGAAAGATTTCGAAGAAGAATTTTTGGGACTGGAAGTTTGCGCAAACCTCCTTAAAAGTTATATAAGACTGATTGAAAATTTTGAGAAAAATATGAAATTTTTTGAAAATTATTGGAAAAATATTTCATGAAAATTTTCCTATCAAAAAATTTTTTCAAAAAAAATTCTTCCCTCACAACCCTCTCCCTCACAATCCCCCATTAATTTACATCAAGCTTTTTTTTTTCAGTCACACTTGTCCTCTCTCATTATTTTTTTATTTATCTAGTCGAATATTAGTGCAACAAATGAGCTATAATTTGCTAACTCAGCGCAAGCTTGATTGCTTTGTCGCCGACTAGTAAATTACAAAACAAGAAAATTGCTTAGGCCCCAAGGGGTGTTTATATTTTTTATCTTTTTTTTTTTGATTTGCCGATAACTTTAAAGGAGAAAATGGGGGAATATAAAAAATAAAAAAATTTTTTTGAAGGTATTAGCCTGTGGGTAATGAGGATTTTGTCATCTCACAAACTTCCCTTGAAGCGTTGAAAAAATAAATATAGTACAAAAATAATAATTGCAGGTGACACCTGTTATAGCTCCAATTTAAGTCAGGTACTGGTAGATGGAGGTAATCGTTGTGGGTTAATTTGTATTTCAAAATTAACGAGTTGGAATGTGAATTTTGTGAATTAAGTAAGGGAAAAGATCCTTCGAATAAACTTTTAGGAGGCTTGCGCAAGCTTCCAGTCCCAAAAATTATCCAGTTATTTTTTTATTACTGCCAAACATAAAAAATTAATTAAATTAAAAATTATCTGATTTTTTATATATTAAGTAGATTGGAATAAATTTAAAGTTGAATATCGATATACAATGAGAAGTTGGATATGTTTGTGGTTATAACGAGAGTTTTACTGTATATTTCAACAAAAAGGCTCTTAATTAGGAACACTAGAGTGAGGGACAGAAGTGGATCCCAGCTTGATTTTACGAGATCCCATTCAATATATCTCTAAGTTAACGATCCAGGATTTAAGGAATTTTAAGGGATTTTCACAATAATTTTAAGGGACTCCGTCCTTTAGAAGTGGAGTGATCTCGGAAGTCAGTTTGGTACCCCTTCCTTTTGCTTTTTAGAAGGTTGAGTGAGGGAAAGATGCCTCGGGATTACTCACTCCCTTTTGAAAATGCCGTGATCTAGGAAATCGGATTGCGTCTTGAAAATGACATTCATATGAAGGGGATCCACAATTTCTCGTGATACTTTCTCTCCTCTCTTTCCCTTAACAGACAGCGATTTTAATAGAGGCTTTAAACAACCCCTTCCTTTCCCTTAATTTTAAGAACAAAAAAAATTTTATGGCTCAACAAATTTTTGTTTTTATTCTCTTCCCTTTCCGCAAAACTTTTTGGTTAAAACTAGAAGAAAACAAAAACATTTTTTAACTGCGATGACCCAATCCCTTCCATTTTTTTATTTTAACCGCTTTATGTACATACATTGTAAAAGTTTTCGCATTCTATATACAGAAATAAATAAATCCCTTCCCTTTTTTTATTTTACAAATTTTTTTTTGAATAAAAGGGCATCTTTGGCTTGTCCTTATTTTTGTTTTAAGACACCTACTTTCTCTTAATCCTTTAAGAAATTTAAAATTCTCTCACATTTAGGGTTTAATCTTGTTTGAATATTAAATTATCCTTTATAATACTGTCGAGATTTGTTGGAATTTCATATTATATTTTTTCATCTTCTTACTCCCCTAGCCCATTTTTACATCTTCCTTATCCTTCTTTTATTCTTCTTCCTTTTTATTTTTAACCTTATTCTTCCTGTTCATATCTTCCTTTAGTCCTTTTTATTACTTCACTTCATCTATTTCTCCTAATCTCTTCCTTTCCTCTCCCTCCTAATTGCTTATCTTCATGTCTTCCCTCATTTCTTAATCTTCTTTTTTAAACTTCACTTCTTCATCTCTTCATTTCTTCCTTTCTCCCATTTCTTCCTTAATTTTCCCTCTTCTTTTCTTCCCCCTAAACTCTTGATCTTTCATTAAAGCGGCTGTCAACGGTTGTCACCAACAACTCACTTGACCTCTCATCCTTTAGGTTTATTCTCCTCCAGCCTTTTGTCCTCCTTCCTCCTTCTGCTTCTCCCTAGGCTTAAACAATTCTCGGCAAATTAGCAGTCCCTTTTTAAATTGCAACTGACACTTAACCATTTTCTAGCTTAAACTAATGCTTAAACTACCCCTCCCCTCCCTCCCTTTATTTATTCTTCCCATTCTTCTCCCTATATTTGTTAATAATTCAGCAAATGTCCATCACTTGGACATTTATAAAACTTTTTTTAAACTTTTTTTTTCAAGAGCTTTTCCTTTAAGCCTTTCCTTTCTTAAAAGATATCCATCCATTTATCTTATAATTGAAGTAAAATCCCACACAAAGCTTTGTTAGCTCTTTTAAATGGCTAAGACATTGTGTATTTAATTAATTATTTATTTTTTCCTAACTTAAATTGGGATAGGACTAGTATTTTCTAATAGAGAGACCCAAGAGATTGTCCATTAGACACCTTTGGGACCGTCGAATAGACACCCTTAGGATCGGATCTCGCGACGTAGAAAGCCCAAACTCATGATTATAATATAGAGAACCCTTTGAAGAAGGACCCTCTAATAGAGTGGCCCAAGGGATTGACCAATAAACACCCTCGGGACTGCTAATAGACACCATTTGGATCGGATCTCGCGACATAGAAAGCCCAAACTCTTGATTATAAGAAAGAGAACCCTCTAATAGAGAGATCCAAGGGATTGTTTAATAAACACTCTCGGGACCGTCAAATAGACATCCTTAAGATCAGATCTCGCGAATTATGAATGAGACAATCGACAGTAGAGCTGTCCAAAACTAAACTTTCCCAAAATTCAAGACCAAGACCTATGTGGACTTTACCTAAAACCAAGCCTTGAGCTATAAAATTAAAATGAGGAAAGCTTGTTAAGCATTTCCAAATTCAATTGCTTCCATTTATTTGTTTAATATATAAAAATTCAAATTATCTTTCTTATAATTATATTCCAGTCGTGATATTTTACTATGGTTTTTTCGCGTCTTAGTGTAATTTTTGGGCCGGGAGGTTTGCGCAGACCTCCTAAAATGATATTGACAATGGAAACAGAGATCAAAGCGAGATTATCGTCAAAAATCTCGGCTGTCGAGATCGAGGTACTTCGATAATTCTATACCCTATCCAAGAAGTCTTCAGTTCGCCTGATCTTTTGTTGTTTCGATTTGCTAGGGATAAGGACCATTTAAGACGATCCAACATGTTTATTAAAACCCCAATCCTTCCCTCTAATCTTGATTAAATGCTTATTTTTTGTTTAAAATCCCTTTATTAATCCATACTTTTTTATATTTATTCCTCCAAAATTTTCAGATTTTTCCCCTATATTACATCAGTCCCCCCCCCCTTTTCCTCTCTTCCACTTTTCAACAAAATAATCCTCTCTCCCTCCAAATCCTTCTCCTCAATTTTAAACAATTTTTTTGGCCACCAAGTTGCCGATTTGTTTTTCGAATGTAAACAAATGTTGTTCTTCCCCCTTGTACTTTTTTTTTTCAATTTTCTCCTTAATATCCTCCCACATTTGTCAAATATATTACTACTACCTTCCTTTCCCCGTTGCTTCTTCTTTGTCACTTGTTTTCTCGTCGGAAGAACAACAAGAGAGAAAAAGACTCTCAATCTCGGCCTTAAACGTCCAACAAAGGATGGCGGTTATTCCGATATTTTTCTGGGGGGTTTTGTTTAAATTTTTCGATTCATCATTGTTCTTTTGTTTCTGTCAAGGTTTGGAGAAATGCCAAGATTTTTGTAAAGGCCAGATTGTTAAATATCGGTCTGAAAATTAAATGTTAATAGAAAGCGGTCACATGAAAATTTTTATTCATAAGGGATTGTTTGTGGTTCGAAACCGAATGACCGAGTATTTTCGGATAGGTTCTTTGTTGAGTTTCAGGTATCCGAAAAGTTTCGGTTATCTTAGAAACGATAGCCATATTCCCAACGGATTAAGAGCTTGTTCTTTCACTCTAAAAAAATTCTTTCAGTCCTCTCTCATTAAAAGCTGTTCCGATAGGCTTCCTCCCCTAACTCAGATCAGAATCCGCTCCTGAATTAGATCAATTCCCTCCCTTGAAGAACGAGGTATTTCGAACTTCCTAGATTCGCTCAATCAAACCTCTTTACAGATATCTTTTGAATACTCTCCCTCATTATCCCCTCCCTCAATTTAGTTTTAAATTCTGTATAGTTCTTCCCCTCTTTTTTACGTAAATATATCTTCAGATTATCCTTCTTACTATATAGTTTATTTAACTTTAAATATACCCTACAACTAGTCAACATTTATTTATTTAATAATTGGTCAATCATTTATTTGTCTAATATTACTACTACTTTATTTTTACTTTTTTTCTTTATTTGATCGGCAATGTTCCACTCAACAACTACATTTTATGTGTATTTGTAATTCGGCTTTTCTAAATTCCCCCAAAAGCTCCCTCATCTTCGGCTCAGCTTTCGTCTTTCGCGAGTTAAACAACAACAAGCTTTTCCCTTCATTTGCGCACTTAATCTCTACTCCTACCTTTCCTATTAACTCTCCCTCTCACACATTTTGTTTTTTCGATCACTTTTCTATTTAATTTGCAAAATTCTCTCAAAACCTCTCTCTTATAAACCCCTCTATTATCAGAATTTAAATCAGAATTTTAAATAAAAATTTTAAACCTCTCACACACTCTCTCCTCTACTTTTTGTTATTTAAAATCAAAATTTAATTTTTTAAACCAGAATTTTAAATATTTTTGATTTGAATTGCAATTTTCTAATTGCACTGTTTCTAGAAATTTCAATTTTAATGATTTTTAAATCAGAATTTTAAACTACTCAATGTGCTTCTCCTTCCTTTCTCCCATATACATTAGTCTTCCAAAGCTCCCCAAATCATCTTTGGCTATTCCTCCTCCATTTCCTTTCAATTCTCTCCATTCCTCTCTTCAATTTCTTCCTCTTCCTCTTCCTCATCCACTTCCCTTCCTCATCCTCTTCATTCTAACTTCAATTTTCTTCTTTTACTCCACTCTCTCTTCCCCCACTCTTTTCCCAATTTTCTTCATTTTCCCTTTATCTATTCCTCATCCTTCCCCTCATTACTCTTTACTATTTTAATCCTCTTCCTTTTAAAATTTCCTCCTTCCCCATTTCAACCTTGTCCAAAACTTGTCATTCATTGTCTTCTTTTAGTCCCTCAAAACTAACAAATAAAGCATTGCACTAGCTGCCACTTTACCTCAATTCGGAGGACTTTAAAACTAAAAAAAGTGAAGGAAGGCTTCCCTCGATCGAAGTAATTAGTCGTGGCCAACTGTGGCCAAGTGGGAGGACAATAAAGGTAGTTATGTACCTGACAAGTTTTTTTGTTTGTAAAATTTATGTCCCTACATATTTTTTGCTTTGCGTTGCATCAAATATATTTAACAATGAAAAATATTTAATTAGGGGAAAATTGCAGATTTAAACAACAAAAAAAAAACTTGAATTGAGAAAAGAAACATTTTTACCTTGATTCTAGTTGCTTCTGATTTTTATGTTTATTTAAAATTTTGATTTTTAAAAGTAATTTTCTGACTTAACCTAGACAATCTCTCAACATTGTTTATATTGAATCCTAGTTGCCTCCATGTTCGTTTAAAATTCTGATTTCGACGTTTGACTAAAATTCTGATTTTTTAAGTAAGCTTCTGAATTTACTTAAACAACCTCTCAACATTGTTTATTTTGCTTTTAAGTTGCTTCCATGTTCGTTTAAAATTCTGATTTTGATGTTTAACTAAAATTCTGATTTTAAGCTTGTTTAAACATTCAAATTCTGTTCTCATTCATTGTTTAATTAAAATTCTGGTTTTGATGTTTGACTAAAATTCTGATTTTTCTAAACATTCAAATTCAATGTTCTCCTTCATTGTTTATTTAAAATTCTGATTTTATTTTTCTGATTGCATGTTCGTTTAACATTCTGATTTTAATTAGACTTTAACTCCTCATTCCAACTTTAATTAAAATTCTAATTTTCAATTACTTTCATGCAACAATGTTTCCTTATATTTATCGTTCTACTCGAATGCTCAAACATTAATTCTGGCTTTTTGTTTGTTCCTGTTTTCCAAAAAAAGTTTCTTCAGTCTCCTCCGTTTTAATTAAACTTTTATTCTTCTAATAAATAAATAATAATACTAGTAATTTTCTTTTGACCAGTGGATTTAGGGAACAACGGCATTGGGGGATTACCCCTTTACCTCTCTCTATTTTTCTCTTATTTACCTAAAATCCACTCATTTGTGGCCTCAATGCCATTGCAAATTGGTAGGTTTTGAATGCGCCGTGAGGTACCCAGGCAACGGAAATGACCGGAGGTGTGTAAAACATAAAAAAATATAAAATTTGTGTGCCGTTCCCTATACGAATTTTTATTTATTTTTATTTTTTTTCTAAAATAAAATGGACTATACAGTCGGACCTGATACCTTCTTTATATCCTTCAATTTAATACCATCAATTTAAAAATACTGTCAGTCTTTTAACATTTTGGGGTTGACCATGTAGATAACCTTTAAATGGGCAATTTTGCCTATTTAGGATAAGCCTTCAAAGGTTAGGTATCAGTTAGTGTGCGCCGGAACCGTAAATTTGGCTGGAACCGGAACTTCCGGCGCAACACTAAAACATATAAGTATTAGGTATTAGGCAGTTCGTAGCTTCCTTCTCGGCTCCGGAGTTTAAAGTTTTAGTTCCGGTGGCAGACGGGGCCGATTCCAGGACCCTATACCCTCCCCAGATAGGTATCCTTATGGTGAGGACTTTCTGATTTTTGTTCTGATTTTTAAAATATTCTCCACTAGGTTCTGATTTTATTATCAGCACAATTGTGTCCTTAACTACCTCCCTTTTTCCTTCGCCTTTTTTAAATTTATTTTTAAGTGTTTAAACTCAATCAAAATTTAAATTAATTAAGTACCCATCACAATTAATAAGTACAAAAAACTCTCTCTCCCTCCCCTCCATTTAACCAATTCCTACTTAACCCAATTCTTTTTTAACATTTCCCCCAATCATTTTTTGAATTCTTTCTTTTTTAAAAATATTTATTTTTAATTGTTTTTGTCTTCTAATTAGTATTTTTCGTTGTTTCTGGCCCTCTATCAAATTTTCAAAAATTTTTCTTTCAAAAATAAAAGTCACACAAAGGCTCCTGTTGACCACCTGCCAACATTTTCTTTCCAATAATTTTTTATATAGATTATTTGAGATTATTTTTGTGTAGATGGGACGAAATCTCTCATTTTTCTATTCTTTGTTCTTCCCCCCAATTTTTCAAAAAAATTATCTAAGGTGGTCAAAAATGGCATTTTGCTCGAGGAAATGAGGCCTAGATGAGGAGAAACGTTTAAAAAAAGTTTTGAGGTGTTTGGCGGAAGGAAGATGTTAAAGGAGAGGGTAAATGACTCGTCCGAGCAGTTCAAATTTTCCATCAACCAAGGATTATTTGAGGAGACCCAACTTAGAACTTTGGTTCCTTATGAAGGAGAATGCTCATTTTGAGTTTCCAATTTTAGTTTGCCACAATTAAATTGGCTTAATCCAAGGAGAAATTCAAAAATTAGTTGGGTAAGAACTCCTCGAATAATCCTTCTGATACTAAAAAACAAGGGAGACTCGAGGTTTTTTTTGTCTAAAAGAAGGGACTCTCTCCCAATATAGTACTCCTCCATCAATCAAAGGATTATTTGAGGAATTGCTCAACTAATTTTAAAAATCAGCGGGATTCACCAAAATTTTTAACAAATATCTTTACATACTTGTTTACTCCCTCCCTTTCCTTCCCTCCCTTCTCTCCTTCCCTCCTTGACCACCCCAAATACCTTTTTCTTTTTTCCAATTTATTCTCCAAATCGGTGTTGTTATTTCCATAAAAACATTTATTTTATTCTCCCCCTTTTCCCCCTATCAATTACCGATCATGCATACGTCCATCATCGGCGATTGTCGCGCATCAACCGGCCGGCGCGAGTCATTCAGTCATCCCTCACTTGCGCTCATTTTTAACTCTTTCCCCTTTAAGTCAGTCCCTTTTCTTTCATTTATTTCCACGTTTTTAAACTGAAACAAGCCTTGTATTCGTGTGATATTGAAATTTTAAATTATTAATTTTATTTAAAAGCATTTTTGGTCTAGGATAATGATCCCTTGTTTCTATTTTCTTTATAGGAACGGACATTAGGAAGTTAAAGACCTTCAATAAGGAGTTAAAGCCCTCTTCGAAAGGAGGATACTGATATTTAGAATTATTTATAGTCCGTGATAACGATCACTTTTTTCGATTTTGCTTATAGGGGCAGACATATAGGTAGTTAAAGGCCTTCGATAAGGTGTTAAAAACACTCTTCGAAAGATGGTATATTGAGGGTTTCCCCCCAAAGTCTTACTTTCCCCTCTTTCAATAAGGGTCTTTAACTCCTTATAGTTATCACTCAAATTATCCCTCAGATCCCTCAATTCTGAGAGACACATTTTCCCCTACCTTTTTATCACCTTATCTCAGTTTATCCCCTCATTTACCTCTCCCACCCCCTTTTTTTATTGGACTGTACCCTTCCTCTATTTAGTTATCCTCGCGATTATTTGGATCATTCACTTCTCCGCGCATCTCTCATTTATCAAAAAGTCTCGATCTTTCCCCTCTCATTTTGCAAGAAAAAGTGCGTGTTTCAACATCGGCTGACTCTATTAACTAACAAATTTATTTATTTGCCAACACACACAATTTTTGTGTGTTGTGTTGTTTTTGGCTTGATTTCAATCAAGCAGAAGAGATAGATTGAATGACCGGGCGTTTTTAAACACCTTTTCTCTCTCTTCCTTCTCTCCCTTTTATTTATTGCTATTTCATTGCCTTTGTAAATCTTCCTCTCATTGTTGCTGATCTCCTCCCGATTTTATTCAAAAAGGTTTTGGATATCATGCTGCGATTTAATTTTATTTGGAAAGTTGCAACCTGTTTGGTTGAAAATCTCTTTTAAAATTTTAAGAATAGATATCATTATTGATAAGGATTTTGAATTAATTAGAAGAGAAAAGGGCTGATTCTTGGTCACCTTTTCTGATTTTTAATTGAGACAAAATTTTATTTTTTTCTTAATTAAACGAATTTTTACGTAGCTCTATTTGTAGCTCCATATAGCTGACTAGGGTTGTTCTCGACGGAGGGGCAACGGAGACTTCCCTGACTTTTGGGGTCGGGGTTCAACTCTAATATATTCAGACGTAGCTCTATATCTACTGCTGACTTTCTAAAAATATTTTTTTCGAGGGATGGGAATCTCTTTTCAACTAACTCAGAATTAATCTCGCATTCCTGACAAACCCCTTCCACAAATCTCAATATAAGCGACCATTCCTCCGTCCCTTCATCTGTTTCTAAGCGAACACATTTGCGCGATTTTTCTATACACAAATTAGCTTATTTTATCATTATTTAGTGATCAATTTCATTTCCGGTTGATTTAATTTGCGTTCCCTTTTTTCCAGCCTATTTAATTAACTAATGATATCAAGATTTAAATTGTTTATCAGGTTCAAGTTGAAAATGTATTTAAAAGAGATTTTTTATTGAAATCTTAGGCATACCTCATACCTTTTAAAGCTACATCCCTCTTTAATTTAATAATGCCACCCACCCTCCCCTCCATATCACTCCCCTTTATATGTCAGCATTAGTGTTGGCCGTTCCTGATATTCGTAAAAGGTAGGATATTTGGAAATCTTAGGTCCCGGATCCGAATATCCGGAGATTTCCCAGGAACATCCATACATCAGTTTACATCAGTTCAAGTGTGATTCATTAGAAAATTTCGACTCTCATCCTCAACACATTATTTATTTGTCATTTCTGAGCCGATTTGGCACCAAAACTTGGATATTGTTCTAAACATATTTTAGAAAAATTTTATGATTATAAGAAATTAAAAAAAATTTTTTTTAATTTTTTAAACTAAACCCCCTTACAAGCCTCCTACCCATTTAGCTTAAGAGGAGGGGTAAAGGCCTCTTCTACTTTTTCAATAAAACTTTTTCCTCTATATCCTCCCTCATTTTTGCAGCCTTAATGCCATTCTAAACATAATACCCCTTTATTTTTAAATATATTTTCCCCCTTTAATCCTTTGATCTCCCAAATTTCTCTCATCCCAATTTAAAAACACTTAATAACCCTTTTATTTAAATATGTCATATCCTTTTCCGTTCGTTCTTTCGGCATTTAAAGTGTTCCTTTTTTGTCCTAAAATC